GCAGTTCGCCACCGTCGACCCCACCAACGGCGTGCTGACCTTCGAGCGCGAGACCGCGCCGGACATCGGCTGGCACGGCCAGTCGCGCAAGGGCAAGGTGCTGGTCACCGGCGGCTCGTCGGCCACGCCCGACCGCGTCTACACGGTGTTCAACAAGGAGCAACTGCTCGCCGCGCTGCGCGAGGCGAAGAACCAGCCCAAGATCATCCGCATCGTCGGCCACATCGACTTCCGCTGGCGCGACAACAACACGGTGTTCGAGGAGTACACCGGCTTCCTCGACCAGAAGAACGGCGGCTCGCTGTCCATCCCGTCCAACACGACGATGGTCGGCATCAACGACAGCAACGGCCGCCCGGCGCGCATCACCGGCACGCAGATCCTGATCGGCATCGAAGCCGCCACGACGGCCGCCGGCCCCGAGGCCGACTTCAAGAAGTGGGTGGCCGACGGCAAGGACCCGGAGCTCTACCCGACCTGGACGCGCAACATCATCCTGCGCAATCTGCAGATCGACACGCCCTGGGACGTGAACCCCGAGGACAGCGACAACGCCTACATGGACGGCATCACCGTCACGCGCGGCCAGCAGATCTGGATCGACCACGTGACCGTCAGCGACGGCGACACGCCCGAGTCGCTGGCCAACGACACCCGCCACGACGGTGCGCTGGACGTGGTGCGCGGCAGCGACTACGTGACCATCTCCAACAGCGTCTTCACCAAGCATCACAAGACCACGCTGATCGGCAACGGCGACTCCGGCCGCGCCTGGAGCGACGCCGGCCGCCTGCACGTGACGCTGACCGGCAACTGGTGGAACTACGCCTACAGCCGCCTGCCGCTGGTGCGCTTCGGCCAGCTGCATCTGTACAACAACCTCGTCACCGGCAGCACGACGACGAGCGACAGCGACCTGAAGTTCGGCTCGGGCCTGGACGCGCGCTACCAGTCCGACGTCATCAACGAGAACAACTTCTACGAGTTCACCGGCCTCAAGCCCAAGGAGGTCTGCGGCAAGCTGGCCGGCGGCAAGGACGCGATCTCGATGCGCAGCAGCGGCCACCGCTTCATCAGCGACAAGGGCGACGACGGCAAGGCGATGACGGGCGTCATCGACATCGAGCTGCAGGGCTGCGACAGCGTGCCCGTCAAGCAGAACTGGGTGCCGCCCTACGGCTACACGCTGCGCAGCGCGGACGCGGTGCGCGCCAGCATCCAGTCCACGTCCGGCGCCGGCCGCGTCGGCCCGTTCGCCGTGCAAGGC